AAAAAACTTTTACCGATCTCAATGTTTTCTCAATCTTGTTGGCAATGATCTTCTCAACCTTTTCAATACAGGACCAATCCACCCATTTTCCTCTTTGCTTGCTTTCACTTCCTATTATAGTACATTCAAACTAAGAGAATTATGTGAATTAAATAAGAAGGGCTATAGAATATTATGAGGAATTTTGTCAATTGAAATTGTAATATATATTTTCTATATGAAAGATTGAAAAAAGAAAGACAAAGAACTTACAAATGATTTTATAATGTCTACAATAGTATCTTTTGAGAAACACTCATCAATTATTGGCTTCCTGAAAGTAATAAAAACTATCAAGTTTCACAAATGCTAAAGCCACTGGTCTTATCCTAATCCATATTCTAGTTGACACATGTATTCTTACTTGTTTAAAACATTATCTTCATCATGTTGCACATGCAAAGAAAATTTCTCAATTATAGCTTTGACTGCATTCTCATCACCTGAGTTCAAGATAATCAGACACTTCTCTAGCTCAAGCAGTCTCTGATTACAATAGAAATTATGTTATCGTTCAACATCACTCAAATGTAAGGAAAAAAATATAAACAAATTGATGATTCCTAAGCATCAAATTGATTCATTGCACTTAGAGCACCTCATTAATTTCAGTCCACAAATAAAACTATAATAAAAGATGGAAAACTCAAATTTAAGTCAAATCTTTGAGCGACTGAAATTAATGAGGTGTTCAAAGTATAATAGAAAGAGAAAATGAAGTTCATCAAGAAAGTTTGATAACAAATTTGTTAGTAGATTATTGTTCCTTTCATATGTCCTCAATATTCAAAACTTTACCAATTTCAGCATGGTTGATTGATTTCATATACTGTTTAATTTTTCATCAAAACAAAGTTAGGATCAGCCTCCAACCCAAGGCACACTCCCCTTAAAATTGAAAAGTGAATAATACTTCTTGTAATTAAAAAAAAATAGAGATTATGTTTTGTTTGAAGTGAACCCCAAACATTCAATTGTCTTAAGCTATTACTTCTTCACAAAACTTGTTCCCGAAGTGAATGCTACTAATAGGATATAAAGAGAAATGTTAGGTCAATCATCAAAGCCAGCACCAAAAGAAAGACTAAAAAAAATAGGCATGCTTGATGGCACAAAATTGAAATGAAAAAAAATGAAAAATACCTTTGAGAATGAAAAGAGTTTTGATGCTTCAACTTTGATTCATCTCTAAAACAAAATGAGTAATGATGAGTTTAAGTTTGTAGAGTCGGTAAGAGGTGGAATGAGTTGCTAGGGGGTGGATGTTAGGCTATAGGTACCGACGGGTGGAGAAAGTTGGTGGGAGGTAAAGATTAAATATGTGGAGTCGGTGGGAGGTGGAGATAAAGAAAATGAGTTAAAAGAGTTGGTGGGATTTAGTTTTATAACCCTATTTTTTTTCCCAAATAAAAGCCAATAGTTTTTTTATTTTGAGACTATACTAACGGTTACAATAATAATCATCAATTATAACATATTTATACCGACGGATAATCATATACCATCAAAAAAAATTTATTTATACTTATAGTTAAATAATGTGTTAGTATAAATATGGTATATTTTGACGGTATTAAAAATTTGTTAGAAAAAATCTCTTTTATTGACATAATTTGACCGTTAGTATAACCAAACATTATTGCATGAAAAATTTTCTGTAGTGTGAGTGCCTAGTAATTATCACAAAACCTTTAAGATCCATCATGCTTTTTAACCAAAATAACAAGAGAAGAAAATGGATTGTTGCTTGGCCGAATCACCCCATTTTGAAGCATTTTTTCCATAATCTTTTTAATTTTTGCCTTTTGGAAATGTGGATACCGATAAAGTCTTGAACATATTGGTTCACTACCTTCCTTTAATGGTATCTTATGGTCATGTGGTCTTAATGGAGGTAAGCCCTTGGGTTCTTCAAAGACTTATCGAAACTCATCTAGTAGGGTTTGCATTTGAGGATGTTTGAAGAGAGTTGACTTCACTTCTAGTGCATTCATACACAATAGTGATACCTAGGATAATATCAACAAAGTTTAGATGACAAAATAAAAATAAATTCTAACTAAAAGATAAACTACTTAGACTCCTAAAACATTCAACTATAATAACCAATTAATTATTACACACATAACATAATAAAAATGTAAAAGAACCAATATATTTTCCTTTCCGAGGGACAATATCTTCCTGTCTTGGTTTTGGTAACCAAACAATTTTTATTTTTGTAGTGTCATGTCTAAATGTTCGAAATTCTCAATCCGAATGATATTATGATAGACTAATAACAAGAATTTTATTTTTTATTTTTATAAATGATGAAACTTGAAAATAAAAAAAGTAAATAGAGATTATGATTTGAAATATAAATTTTTAAGAATAACTGTATAAATCAATTAAATTAGACGTGCAGCTCATAATTATTATTTTCTTAACCAATTTCAAGTCAAATTTTTTTTTTTTTTGTTCTCAATCAAACTAATTTTGGATTTGATTACATATGATTTTTTTATTACAAAATAAAAAGAAATCTTAAGACTCAAATTAGATACCTTAAAATTAGAATTTTAGATTTTAATTGTTGAAATGTCACTTAAAAACCTGTTAATAACGATTTTGAAAAAACAATAGTTCGGATGAAAAAAACTGAGAAGTTGATGAACTTGTTTTAAGGTCATTTATATAACTCATTTGCAGGACTGGATTCAAACGACGCAATGGGTGTCTACGATTTTATGCACACCCATAGATTGAAAAATAAAAATAAAAAAATCAAAAGAAAAATTTTCACTAAATATCTTTAAAATTTTTTTGACACTTTTTTTATGGACAAAATTAGTAAATTTATCAACAATTTTTATATATAAATTATATATAAACCCAAAAAAAAAAAAAAAACACACAGAATCTAACTTTGTCATTGTTGGTTTGGTTTGGTTGCATGGTGCAGTGGAAGGTTTTCCACCGCACAAAATTCCTAGTTTGTCACTGGGTCCTTAGGATTCTAGTAAAAACCGTGTCGGATTTTGACATTTGATTATGAAGAAGTCAATTAAAATTATATAATATATATGTATTTTATTTTTTGTTATGTTAATCAAATTCAAGAACGAGTATTAAATATGAGTATGCGTTCAATAGGAATATATTTATTTTTTCTAAATTTTTTATATACTTAGATTATTCAAATTTCATGCTCACGTTTATCACATATATCTCGAATATAGGTACTTCAAACAAAAAGAAAAATTCAAGTAATTAACATAATTCATTTAAAATTATATCAAATAGAAAAGAAATTAAAACAATCATAAAGATATGAGAAAATAAGTGTAGTCGATTAAAAAAATAATACACTTTTGGTACTTGGGCAAAAGCTAAAAAATTAATTTTTTTTTTTCAAGTTTGCACGAGTGTGATTTAATATTTATGATAAAGCTATTACTTTAAAGAATTCCTTAATGATGATTTTGCATACAATACATAAACAAATAATAATGTAATTTTAGTTCATCTTAAATTATAATTAGAGGTGTTCATGGGTCAAGTTAGGTTTGAGCCAAACTCATATTTGACATTAATAATTTATATACTTGTCTAAGATCAATTTGACCCAAAATTTTAAATATCGAAATTTTCTCAAACATGATCCATATAAAAAAAATAAATTCTAAATTCACTCATTAAACTTAATTTATATAATAAAAAATAAAAATATTATTAAATTAAATTTAATAAGATTATATTTAATTTACATATATATAAAAATTAAAAATAAAAATTATATAAAAATAAAAATATATAATTATATATATGTGAATTAATAAAATAAAATATATAATTTTTGTTTTTAACTTTTATATGGTATATGTGAATTAATTTTTATATAATTCACATATATATAAATAAATAATTTATATATATGTAAATTCGGACTGGATATGACCGAGTTAGAATTTTAAATATTTTGGTCAAGGCTCAATATGAAATTGAAATGAATTTAAAAATTGTGTTCAAACTCATTTAACGAGTTTTAATTTTTTTGTCTAAACTCTCTTAAAACTTAAACAGACCTTTGGATTTGGATGGGTAACCCAACCTTTGAATATGTCTAATTGCAATGCATAAAATTAAATTAACAAATTAACTAATAATAATTATAATGTGAAAGTTAATTTAATTTTTTTTAACTAAATAACATAAACGAACTAATTATATGATTATATAAACATATATATTAAAGGATTTTTTTTCCGGGGGGGAAGGGAGGGTAGACCCTCCCATTTAACAAGTCTTAATTTTTTTGTCTAAACCCTCTTAAAACTTAAACAAACTTTTGAATTTGGATGGATAACCCGACCTTTGAACATATCTAATTACAATGCATAAAATTAAATTAACAAATTAACAAATAATAATTATAATGTGAAAGTTAATTTAATTTTTTTAACCAAAAAACATAAACGAACTAATTATATGATTATATAAATATATATTAAAGGATTTCAAGTCAAACGAACCTACAAGAGTGATTCATGTGAAGAGTTGCTAGTTATTATGGCAATAAAAGTGGCCATGACTTGATTAAAAACGAACCATATTGCTGACTATACAAACATTTAAGTTTTATTAATGACATTCATCCATTTCTTATATTAAAGTCTATTGGATCCCACACTACGGTTAAATGGTTGGCATGAAAATCCAAGTTATTGATCACAATCATTAGCAGTCAAAAAGGAGAACGTAGGCACCATCCTTTTGCATTATAATTTTTAGAGATCAAAAAATGTACCCAAGCCATGACCATGACATGCACCTAATGGACCATTCTCCTTTGCATCCCTTCGACCTTTTATGCCCCTTTTCCAAGTGATGAATTTTGGTATGTAAAGGAGGCTACTTAAATATATATATATATATATATATATATATATATATATAGAGAGAGAGAGAGAGAGAGAGAAGCCAAAATTAACCATCAAAATGCAATGTTTAGTCCTATCTTTCAAAGTTGAACAACAATACATTAGATTTCCTCTTAAAGAAGTCTTGGAAACTTGTTTTCAGTCCTTCAAAACACAAACTGCTTGATGCGTTATAGGCTCTTTCATCAACAAGATATCACCCTGGAAGACTTTTCTAGCTCAGTTAACAGAACCACAGGAAACTACAGAATTCTCACAGAAATTATTAGATACAACAACTAAATAATAATATATATACCAAGAAAGCTTACATGCACCAATGTGGGAAAATTTGTGTCTATTTTGTGTCCAATACATAAAAAACATAAAAATTATGATGTCTCAATTCGTATCAATATGTCAAAACAATACTTTTCTTTTATTTTTGTCAAACCCACATACGGTTTTTGCTAAAATTCTAAACCTTGTATCATTTTCATATATTTCTTCATATCATGTCACCACGTCGTGTTTAAAATAGTCAGATCTGGTATAAAACTAATACGACCGAATGTAAGCAAAGGTATAGAGCTAAAACACAGGCATTGCCAACAGATTAAAAGAGGTTGCATCTAGTTAGCAATTCTCAGCTCATGGATTCAGCTAACATATAGTCAACTTCATAGTTCGTCCACCTTTCTATTACATTTCCCATTCTTATAGCACCATGTTTTTAAGACTATTTTGATCTCTCTTCACGTCTCATAGCACCAATTTCATTATATTTGAGTTGAAGAAATCAATCCTTCCCCTCAACATGATTTAAACTCACGTAAGCAGCTTGCAGGTTAAAACAAGTAACAAAAAAAGCAATTCTCAGGATCCACTTCTTTGAGTTGGTAATAGAGTTAGCCCAAGTTCAATTGTTCAAAGTTCAAAATAAGAGAGTTAACTCAAGTTCAATTGTTCAAAGTTCAAACCAAGTAATTAGATATTTAAAAGTTGTGGAAACAGGTCAAAATGCATCTTCAAATAGATTTGAAGGTTTTTTGTTTTCATTCTATCTTCCCACCTTATAAGAGCTTGTGATATATACAGCAAATCCTAGATCTTGTAAACTACTCTACAGAACAATGTACAACATTTTGTCAACTATCAATTTTTCTCAACAATCCTTTTCAAAGAAAATCCTAAGAGCACTTAAGTAGCAGTTAGAATGAGGAATAAGTACACGTTCATATTTTTGGACCACAGTTATTGGAATATAAACTCATTGGATACAGCATAATTCGGATGATGCATATCACATGCACTCGTTCCATCCTTAGACTATTCACAACCCATGCCAAAAGAACAAAGAAAGAATGAAACAGTCATACACAAAGAATGTAAGCTCGAGTTCTTAAACTAAGAAAGAATAACACTGGACAAAATGAACCTGATCAATTGATTCAAATATCATTTTATAGCTGGTATTAGGGTTTCTAAATAATTTTATATTAATTAGTCCTCATTTATCAAGTAGTAGGACTGGCAAAGTACCCTATGAGTACCTATCTAAATTTGGTTTCTAGCAACTTTGGATTAATAAGATATTCACTGGTATTTGAGACTTGAGTATAGTGATTTTCTCCTTGGTTCTCTCTCTTCCTCCTATTTTTTCTTCCCTAAATTCCTATATTTCACTTCTTCCTCTTTAATTTTCAATAAGCAAGACGGAGAAAAGTTTACATAGGGCAGAATCTATTCACAGCATGCTAATGTTCAAAAGGGTCCACAGTGAAAACATTACAATTGAAATTATTTAAGTGAAATTTTCAGATGCTTCTATCAAACAATCTATTCATACCGTTTAATAAGTCATTCTCAAATTGCTCAAAACAATAGCTATTGAATTCACAGAAACTTCATAGACATTGAAAGTATTCAACATTCAAAAACTACCATCCACAACTTCACAAGTATATCATGTAAAAGAACAAAATTTTATTAACTTAAAAGCTCCAAAATGAAAATAAATTGAAAAGTAAACCAACCTGAAAATTTATCTACATTGAACTAGAATATACAAACTTTTTTTTATCTCAAATGATGCGCAATATTCCACCAATTTTAGAAATACTCATCCCCTAGTCAGAGAATTCTCGATAGCCAACCTCAGGCGCCTCCCCAACACGTTGAGCTCGGAAACCCTTTGCTTCTTCCACCTCCTCTGCATTGTATCCATCCAAGCTACACCCTGCTTTGCGAAAGCCATCCGAACCTCTTTAAAACACTCGTCAAACACGTCCAAAACGCTTTTTACAACGACTCCATCAATTGCCTCGCCATTAATCACCTCACCTCTTCCCCCACCAAAATCATAACTCACATTAACCTCATTAATCTTCACTTCCCAATCATTATCAATCATATCACAATCATCAAAATCATTCCCATCAACGCCATTATTTTCATGATCTTGTGAAAACCCAACATTAAAGCCGGAAGAATTCTTACCAAAAGGGGAAGTGGAAGCAAACTCACGACTCCAAAGCCTTTTAGAAAGATCAAATAAAGCTTGATCATGAGCTGAGAGAGCAGAGAGGTTCAACCCTCGAGCCAGCCTAGAGGAAATGACCCGGAACTTTTTGCGGAGACGTCTAAGCTTTTCGGAGAGTTGGGACTTGGTGTAAGGTTGGGAAATGGAATTGGAAAAGTTGGAGTAAAAAATGGGGAGGTCTTTGGGGAAAGAGAGGGAATGGGATTGGAGAAGGCCTTGGAGGAAGCTGATCTCGTCAGGCTCGGTCCAGATTCGGTGGAATTTGAAAGCAGGGGGTTTGGGTTTGGTTGGTGAGCCATCACAGGGAGGAACTGAGATTGGTCCGAATTCAAGTTTTGGGATGTGGAATTGTGGTTGCTGGGAGTCTTGGGGCAAAGGGGTTTTGCGTTTGATTGGTAGTTTGGAGGCAGAGGGTACAAGGGGCTGGGGCAGGAGTGGGGTGGAGTCCATGGCTAGGTTTTCTTCCTGGAGGGGTTGGGTTTGGGGTTGGGGTTAGGGTTAGGGTTAGGGTTAGCGGTAGGGGGGAGGGGTGAAGCTAAGGATGGGGTTAACCTATTTTTATGATTTTGGGTGGTGGGTTAGTCATCTGTTTTGAGTGTTGGTGTGGATTTGGTCGAGTTTCAGGGTGTGAATAAAGAGGGCAGGATATTAGGGTTGAATTGGTTTGGGCCTTAAGAAGGTTTCTTTGCATTGTCGCCGAATTTGTTATTTTAAGTCTGGAAAACTTGTCCACAACTTTTTTTATTTTTTCTGAAAACATTTTAGTAATATCAGAGAAGAACCTTTTATTATTATTTGTAGGCTAAAATATTAAAAGATAAGTCTTTATATTTTTATTATACTCAAATAAACTTTTTTTTTATTAATGTTCAAGTACGGCTTTATTTAGAAAAAATGAGTTATATTAAAAATTTATTTAAGTATAAATTAAAAGATAAGAACTTATTTAGATATAAATTAAAGTTTAAAAATTTATTTTATATATTTGGATTTTTCTTGGAAACCAATTTTTTATTCTAATGAAAAAAAGATGAGTATTAAATTTTTAGGATAGGGATAAAGATGTGTATGATTTTAAATTTTTTATTCAGTCAGGCTATAGGGATGAGTAATGTAGCACCTCTCATATATAATATACATATATTTATTTATATTTATATGTATATTTAATAATATAATTATTATTTTAGATTAATTGTAATTAATATATTTATATTTAAAATATATATTTATAAAAAAATATATAAATGTTGAAATTAAAAATTAAAAAATAAATTTTATTTTTTATTTTTTTAAAATTACGGATGCGAAGATTATTTATACTCGTTAAATATGTACGGGGATAAAAATAAAGATAAATTTAAAATATTTATTAGATATCGATACATAGATGAATATAATATAAAAAATTAGGGATGGAGATGAGAAATACTCCTGTCCCATACCCTATCCATTGATGTCTCTAATTTACTTAGGTGCAAAGTAAATATTAATGGTTTATTTAAGTGCAATAAAAATATATGAGCTTTTCTAAATAAAGTGATAAAGTCCATGGACTTCTTTATTATTTTAACTTATACTTATATATGTTAGAAGTACTTGCTCTTTATTATTTTAGCTTATACTTATATATGTTAGAAGTACTTGCACATGAATATATAATTCAATAGAATATGTTAAGTAAAAAATTGCTACATCTATTTATATAAAAAAAATCATAATAATAAGGTACTAAAAAAGAAATACTTTGAGAATGTGGGTTAAAAAAATTCGTCACTTTTAAAAATGGATGGAAAAATAACCACAAAACTTTCTTTGAGTAATTTTACCACGCTTACTATTTAAGTTGTTGGAAAGCTTTAGTAATTCAATATTCAATGATTATGAATAAGAAAGTGAACTTAATCAAGTTATTTACCACAACGACTACATTTTTTTTATACTAATTGAAAAAAATACAGAAGATGATAAAAAGTGAGGTTGAAGATTGTGTAATTTATAATACATGCAAAACAACGTGATTCTCGAGAGCACGGTTTGAACACTAAAATGTAGGAGAAATCAGGTGATAGAATGGGCCACGTAACTGAAATTATATCCAACAAAGATGGATTGGGGCCCAGAGATGCTACTGAGATGGACGTGCAGGGTAATCAAAATGCTATGGGCCGAAAAGAGCGGGTATGGGATACCGCTTTAAATGGATTGGTAAGAACAAAAGCCCAAGATTCAATGGTGGACCAAATAGGGCAAAAATAAACTAGAGACAAAATGGAGTGGGAATGTAGAAGAGGGGTTTTTGCATGGAAATGAAGTTTCACCAAAGTCGACCTAGATAACCATATGAAGAAACAGTAAATATCAATGCTCGAGATGGAAGAAATTGGCGTGAGAAATTAAAGAGACAGGGGCTGGAGATTGTGTGGAACTGGGGTCAAGAAAACAGGTGAATGATAGTGTTGTGGACATGAAGGTCGATTCTTCTGGGAAACGTGGCAAGAGGGAAAAAGCAACTAAGGATGTTGAAAACAATGAAACGGCCATGACTAGTTACCAGTCCTATCGAGACAAACGAGATGCTTAGCCTAGAACTACCGTGGGCTTGGAAACCCACGACCAGTTCAATCTCTTCAAAAGATCTTGAGGAGACAAAACACTGAGGTGGTGTTCTTAATGGAAACATTTCCAATAACGTCAGAATGGACAGAGTAAAAAGCCATGCGGATTGCAGGAGATGTTTAATGTGGACGCAGATGGAATAAGTGAAGGGATTGTAATGTTATGGAAGGACGAGATAATAATGAATCTTGGCAGTTTCTCAAAACATCATATTGATATAGACGTAATAGATGCAAAAGGGAAAGTGTGGAGATTGATAGGGTCTTATGGAGAGCCAGCTACTAAGATAGAAAGGCTGCATGGGATCTATTAAAGGCTTTTGGGGAACAAAACACTTGTGCATGGCTGTGCCTAGGGACTTCAACGAGACATTGTGGATTTGTGAAAAAGAATGAACTAAATGGCCTACTAGAGCAGGAAGAGGTATATTGGAAACAACGTGCACGTACCCATAAATATTGGGGTATTATAGGATCAACTATTACTAAGTTTTATCTTCAAATCCTGAACGGAAGGAGAGGGCTAGAGGGTATACATATATTGTTCTCATCCTAAAAGTCAAGACACCTAGGAAAATATCCCGATACCATCCCTTTAGCCTATGCAATATTCTGTACAAAATAATTAAAAAGACTCTAGCTAATAGATTAAAACGATTTTTCCCAAAGTGTATAACTACGAATCAGAGTGTTTTTGTCCCAGGTCGCCTAATATATGACAATGTGGTCATAGCCTATGCGCTATTACATACAATAAAGCATAAGAAAATGGGTAAAAAGGGGTGCTGTGCACTCAAGCTAGACATGAGCAAGGCCTATGAAAGAGTGGGGTGGCCTTTTGTAAGTGCTATGATGGTGCAAATGGGGTTTGATACTAGGTGGATATCATTCATAATGAAATGCATTTAGTCAGTTTTCTACAATGTTGTTACTAATGGCTTGATTTTAGTAACTATTTACCCAGAAATGGGGCTCAGACAAGGGGACCCTCTTTCCCCAAATCTATTTTTGATGTGCACCAAAGGTTTATCGGCATTATTGTCTAAATTGCAAATGAAGGGCTTGCTAAAGGGAGTGCGGGTAAGTGTTCGGGTCACTCACTTATTTGTCGTTGATAGAGTCTGTTTTTTTTTTTTTTTTAGCAAACCAATAGGAAAGCAGAAGAGTGAGAGATGTGCTAAAGTTGTATGAGAAGGGTTCTGGGCAACAGATTAATTATGAAAAGTCTAGTTTATTCTTCAACATAAATACTAGAATTGAGGCAAAGGAGACAGTAAAGAGTAGTTTCGGGATACAAGTCACCACAAGCTTGGAGAAATACCTGGGGCTTCCAATGTTTATTGGAAGAAGGAAAAAAGAGGCTTTCAAAGGAATTCTGGAAAATATTGAAAGGAGAATAAAAAAATGGAATTAAAGATGGCTTTCTCTAAGAGGAAATCAGGTTTTTATCAAATCAATTTTACAAATGATTTCTTCTTATGCCATGTCTTGCTTCATGTTTCCGAAGGGTTTATGCCATGATATCAACATGATAATTAGCAAATTTTGGTGGAGGGAATCATTAGAGAAAGGAGCAGTACACTGGATATCTTGAAAATTTATGTGCACGGCAAAAAGGCTGGAGGCATGGGCTTCAATGACATTGAGTGCTTCAACAAAGCTTTGCTAGCAAAACAAGGATGGTAGCTCCTACGCAACCATTCGTCTCTCATGAATAGGTTATCAAAGCCAAGTATTTCCCAAATACCTCATTTCTTGATTCTGAGCTGGGGAATGCACCATCATACATATGGAGGAGCATTTGGATGGGAAGAGAAGTGTTGCAGCTAGGTACCAGGTGACAAGTGGGGAACGACCAACGTATCAACGTGTGGACAAACAACTGGATCCAAAGGGGAAGTAGTTTCAAACCTAAACTAAGAAAAGGCTACAATCCAATGCCAAAACGAGTTATTGACTTATTAAAGAGCTCTCTAAACTGCTGGTTGAGGACAGGCTGAGGGAGCGTTTTCTAGCAGAAACTATTAAAGATATTATGGCGAATCCCGGTGAGCCACAGTGGAATACCAGATATCCAGGTATGGCATTTACAAAGACAGGACAATACAGTGTTCGAAACGGATATCATTTACTAGCTTCAATGGAAGGGATCGGGGAGGAAATAACAGGCAGCAACGATAGTCTTGACCAGAATAGATTATGGCAGCTATCCCTCCCGAGTAAGATTAGAATTTTCGCATGGAGAATGAAACATGAGGTATGGCCCACACATGAAAGATTGCAGCGTAGGAGAATAATGGAAGGTGTAATACGTGGATTTAAATTGCGGTGGTGATCTCGTTTTTTATCGTGTACATAACATTTGCTACGACAGTCATTATGTTTATCTTACGTTTATCGCGATCATAAATTTTTTTTAATTTTACATAATTTATTATAAAATATAATAATTATAATTATAATCATAAAATTTTTTTTAATAATTTTTAAAATAATTTTATGATTTTTTTTATTTATATAAGAAGAATAATATTCATAATTTTTTATCGTTACAAAAGTTCTTCCTACTCCAAATAACTTTACATTTATTTAGTTATTAATAATGTATTTTTTAATTTATAAATATTTTATATTTATGAATTAAAAATGAACAAATTGTAAATAAAAAAACTAAAAAGTATAAAAATTATATTCAATTAAATTTTGATATTAAAATCTATAACCATAATCCAACGAGCACAAAAACAAACTAAGTTGCCAACTTTTGTGTCAAAATATGGGTATGGTGTAAGCCCTCTTTTGTTTTTCTAATTTTTTTGTCCTTAACTTTCAAACTATGCCATTTAGTTCTTAGCAAATCCCTAATCCATTTTTCTTCTCTTCCTTCTTTCCTTTCTCACGAGCAGTGCTCTCTTCTTCCTTTCTGACTCGTGATGCAACCACCAGCTCCAATCATCACTTGCTGCTACTCCATTCAGTGCCAACTTGAAATAACCTTTCCTTTTTTCCTTTCTCTTCGTTCTTCCCTTTGAGCAGTGCACCTCTTTTTAAACTTGAAATCCTACCTCTTTATTTGCTTGTACTTGATCTCAATATAGGTTTTGAATTTGATTGAGATTTTTT